TCTTGATGGCAGTGGGTTTGGTTTGGAGAAACACCTCAGAAGAAAGACCTGGTAATCTCCTTCAGAAAAACCAGCCATTGAAAACCCTGTGGAGCACAGTTCTATTCTGACACACATGAGGTCTCCATAAGATGGAGTTGACTCAACAGCAACTGGACTGGATCATATATATACAAACACACACATGCACACTGTGTGTGTGTGTGTGTGTGTGTGTGTGAAGTGGCCCAGAATCAGTTAGGGTTGCCCGACCTCATTCACCTTCAAATCCAGAAAAGCAGTGCAGAGCAGAAGGAGTGGTAAGAATCCAGGGCATCCCTACCCAGGAACAAAGGAGGACTGTGTTGTTCTGCTGAGATGGTGGTGTTGAAAACCCAATAGCTGGGACAGGGCTGGGCAGCAGTAGACAGCTGTGGGCTAAAGACAGACCCCAGGTGACTTCCTACGCCTGCTGCTAGAAGTTAGACCGCAGGGCAAAACCCAAAGTGCCGTTCTGAGCATAATTTGTATGACTAGGCTACGCAGCCGCTTCCACTGATGCAGCCCCCACCCTTACTCTTTATGGTCTCTGCACTCCAACCCTTGAGTTTGGGGCTCTTTTCTCATTCCCACGACTCAGTTCTCCTCTGGCCTTCTGAGGCAGCTTTACCTTTCACCCTTCATTCCTTCCTTAGTCGAAAAAAGTTTCCCTACCTCTAAGTCTTCCTCCCGGGTTTACTTTTCCTCACATTCACTTTTTGCTGATCTTTGTCTCAGGGTAAAAAGCATTTCTGGATGAGCACATGGGGGTAAATGCAGAGTGAGCCCTGAATAATTATGTTGATGGATGGACATTTCCTTTCTCTACCCACAGCCATTAGGCTTTCCTGAAAAATGGAGTAAATTGGCTCCAATGATTTTAATTGTTTTCCTTTGGACTGATTTGCAGATTGATGAAATCAACGTCTATGGAAATACTGCCCTTCACATCGCCTGCTACAATGGCCAGGATGCTGTAGTTAATGAGCTGATTGACTACGGTGCTAACGTGAACCAGCCAAACAACAACGGGTTCACCCCTTTGCATTTTGCTGCTGCCTCCACTCATGGTGCTTTGTGTCTTGAACTGCTAGTCAACAATGGGGCAGATGTTAACATTCAGGTACAAGACTCTTAGTCCCTCTCTGCATTAAATACCTTTGTGTTGAGCCTTGGTTTGTGCAAGATCAACTGCTATAAATTATGTAATGCTGTAACTTATTTAATGAATTGTAACCCTGAGGACTTTGACTCACACAGACTTTCCCTACATCAAGATACTACAGACACTTGGCTGTAGAGGATAGCTCCTGTTTCTGCAGCAGCTGGAAAGCACTGAGATTCCAACTATGTGCCCTGGGTAGTTTAGTGAATGTTCGAGAGCAAATACGGAGTCTCTGGAATGTTGACTCAGCTTAGGTTCTAATACTGAAGTGAATGTTGAGCTAATAGGGCAGAGCTGCTGAGAATTCAAAAGAAGGCCTAATCTAAGGCTACCAAGGACACGTGATTTGGTTTTAAGCTTAAGGTAGGCAGTTTGAACCCACCAGCTGCTCCACAGGAGAAAGAAGAAGTCTGCTTCCGTAAAGATTTACAGCCTTGGAAACTCTGTGGGGGTTGCTAGGAGTCATAATCGCCTCATTGGCAGTGGGTTTGGTCTGGGTTTTATGTTCTCTCTCTTTTGCGCACACATGTGCTATTTACATGCATACATACACAATCACAGTCACACATATATATCTCTTCTGTATATTGGAAAGCAATAAGCATGTATTATTTTTATACCCAGAAAAATAAATAATAAAATCCAGGTGTAATGGGACTAGAGAGGGAGATGACTGGAGGATTGTTGTTGTGTACTGTGGAGTTAATTCGGACCCATAGTGTCCCTATAGCCACCCTACAGGACAGAGTAGAACTTCTCCGTAGGGTTTACTGAGCCATAAGGAAGCAGATTACCAAGTCTTCTCTCCTGAAGAGCAATTACTAGATTTGAACCACCGACCTTTTGGTTAGTAGCTGAACACTTAACCTTTATGTTACCAGGGCTCCTTGTGTAGAAGATGACTGACAGTGAATAAAACTTATCTAGATAAAAGGTAATGAAGACAGGAGAGTGGGGGAGAGCCAACAGAAGGGAAAGAATTTGCAGGAAGAAAAGCAGCAGGTCTAAGTTGGGGCAACAGATGGGGCAATTGATGAGTGCAAGAAATGAAATCTGGCTAAGAAGGATAGTGCAGTGTAGCGGTTAAGTGTTCAGCTCTAGGCTAGCCTGCCTAGGTTCCAGTCATAGCCTAGACTTTTAGTAACCATTTAATCATAAACAACCTCTCTGTATGTCTCAGTTTGTTTATCTAAAACTGGAGAAATAATAATATCTTCTAAATGAACCTGTTGTAAGGATTACAGAACACATACATTACTTAGAACACATATTCCTTAGAAGAATATCCGCCAAGTGGTAAGGGCTTGTTAAATGATTGTTTAGATTAGGAAGAGTGTCAGGAGAAGAGTGGGCTTAGGAGGTAAAACAAATGAGTTTAGTTTTTGAGAAGCTGATTTTGAGTCTTTAGTAGAGGCATTCTGAGAAAACCAGTAGTGGATACTCTAGCCTGGGAGAGTGGTAGAGAAGAAAAGAAAGAAATAGATTGCCTCTTTCACATAGATGTGATAATTGAAACTGAAGGAAAAGATGAGATCACTGAAGGAGAGAGTGTGTATAATAGCAAGAGTAGAGGAGACAGAGGACTCTTTTCTACATGGGATGGAGGGAAGGAGGAAAAGCCAGAGAAAAGGGTGAAAGAAGAGTTAGAGAACATGGGAAAACCAGGGACATGCAATGTCTCCATGAAGGTAGAAAGCAAACAGAGATGAAAAAGTAAAATAGGTGATGAGAATTTCAGAGTTACCTATCTTGTAAGTGGAGCCTGTCCAAGGCCCTAAGAGATGGTAAGGTGATGATTTTAGGGGGCATAGAGGAGGCCAAGAAACCATGGCCCAGGGTAGGGAAAGGGTCATCACAAAGGGGTGAAGTCACAGAGGATAGTGGTGCAGGGTAGGAGGCAAACACGTGGCCAAACTGCTAATGCCCCCAAGACTTGTTGATTCCTGTTTTGCCAACTTGTTGTCTGATGGATTCACTCTGAATCCTTCCAAGGAAGGAAAGTCATTGATGTTAAAAAAAAAAAAAAAAAAGAAGAAGAAAAGAAAGAAACTCTCTTTACCAACCTCCACTTAATTCACTGGGAGCTCTGGTGGTATAATGTAGCGCCTAAGGCATTTGACTGCTAACCAGAAGGCTGGCAGTTCAAACCCACCAGCCACTCCTTGGAAGGAAGAATGAGCAATCTACTTCCACAGAGATATTGCCCTGGAAACCCAAGGAGGAGTCACTATGAGTCAGAATCGACTCAATGGCAGTGAGTTTGGTTTTTGGAGTGAGTGACTTAATTCACTGGGCCATTGGTTGCTCTCCAGGACCTCTGTAAAGCATGGTAACTGATTATCTCAGTGTACTTGATACTTGAGGCTGGAAGGCCACTTCAGACACACCTGCCTGCTTCTTCCAGTCAGTTTGGATTGGATGAGGAACTTCAACTACACATGGTTCATTGGTTTAGGGCAGCCTTCCATTTCCCAACACCCCCCCCTACACACACACCAAATGAACCTCGAAAACATAGTTACTTAATTTTATATTTTATTTTTTTCCCCTGTGGACTGCTAGTCAGGAATAGAATATAAGAAATATCATTTGTTCTGACTCTGAGTTTATGTATTATCTGATCTGTATAGATGAGATTTTGAATCAGACCTAGCCTTCTTCCTCAGTCTCCTTTCATCTTCTCTGTCTCCATCCTGATTTCTCTTTCAGTTTTTCTTACTTATTCCAGGTGCACTCTGTGGTTGTGTTATGTGTCGTTGAGTTGCACCCGACTCATAGCGACCCCTCCTTGGGTTGCCAAGGCAGTATCACTACGGAAGTAGATTGCCCAACCTTCCTTCTGAGGAGTGGCTGGTGGATTTGAACTGCCAGCCTTAGGGTTAGCAGTCAAGTGCCTTAGGCACTAAGCTACCAGAGCTCCTAGGTGCACGCTGGATATGCTAATCATCTAACTTTTCTGTAGAGCCAATCTGTCTGACTCTGGAGGTAGCTTTCCAATTGAACCTGTCACCTCTCTGTACCACATTGCTTGTGTATTTTGAAAGTATTTATAGATTGTAAAAAAACTTCTATTTAGTTCCATTTTGTGGAAAATAGTACATTGAAATGCAGCCAAAAGCCACCCACATGCTTACTTTATTTTTCTTTATTCTCAATAAAAGTGATGTATTCATGAAGCCCAGCAATTATATAAGATAGTTGGAGAGAAGAGGAATGATATGTGTTCTGTATACATTTTGCAACCTAAGGCATTTGACTGCTAACCAGAAGGCTGGCGGTTCAAACCTACCAGCCACTTCTCGGAAGGAAGGTTGGGTAATCTACTTCCATAGTGATACTGCCTTGGAATCCCACGGAGGTGTCGCTATGAGTCAGATCCAACTGGCTGTCAGTGAGTTTGTTTGTTTTGTTTTGCTTAGATTGACCTTGGCCTTGCCTTTGACTTTGTAATAGCAGTTCATTTGTGCTAAAGTAATAAAGAGACAATCATGTATAAAATAATCCATTGAAGGTTCTCTTTTAATTTGCAAGTAGAAAGACCATGAGAAATTATAAAATAATTTTTCCATCTTTGTGGTTTTTGTAGCTTCTCCTGGCCCTTTTTGCAGACATTTAAAGTAAGTGCTAAAGTAGACACTAAAGACATAGCCATCCGTGTTGGATATATCTTAGAAAGTTAGATTCAGAAATTACTGTTGCCAGGTTGCCTACCTCCTGGTCACTAACATTAGCCTGCCGTGGTCTCAATTCTTTTCTGTCTTTGGAACCTTAGGTCATTTCCCCCTAGGCAACTGGACTGACGCCTGTGACCTCTCTGCCAAAGTGGACCAGCTTTCTTCTTTGTAGGTTCCAGGACCAAATTATGGAACAGATCACATTGCCGAGGTGGAAGGTGAAAACTAGAATAGGCAAGAGTGACAGTGACGGGGATATGGCTGTTGAAACTTTAGGGAGAAAGTGCCAAAAAGGAATTGAACATGTGAGTCATCCACATACCTTTTCTGGCTTTAGAACCACCAAAACAAACAAATTGTATTATGTATTTTTTTTTTTTCTCCAACCAGAATTTTAGATGGCTCTTCCATTGAATTAGGGCATTCTTACTAGGTTTCTGATTGTATTTGACTTCCCAGGCTGGCCTTAGTGTTATTCCCTTTGTGGTTTTATTGCCCTCAGTGGAGTTGCATGACTACAGGAGAGGCTATGCCAAAGAAAATACAGTGTTTTCAAGTTCCTAGGAAATGATGATGTCTGTAAGTTTAGAGGCTTGTGGGGTATTATAGGAAGAAGAAAGAAGACATTAGGAGTGGGAGAAAAGAATGAAAGGATTGCTGAGGAGAAGGGTGTCAAGGAAATAGAAATAATCCTTTATGTCCAAAAATTAAGCTTTTTTGGACAATACTGAATTCTGCCCTGGAAGATTACTATTATTTGTCACAAAATACTCGTCATCGTTATTAGTTTATGACTTGTTGTTGTTGTCATGTGCCATCAAATCAGACCTGACTCTAGCGACCCCTCCTTGGGTTTCCAAGGCAGTATCACTACGGAAGTAGATTGTGCAACCTTCCTTCTGAGGAGTGGCTGGTGGGTTTGAACCACCAGCCTTCTGGTTAGCAGTCAAGTGCCTTAGACACTATGCCACCAGGGCTCCTCTTTATGACTTAAGTATACCTAAATCAGTAGAAGAGCTGCTTGCTTAATTAAGCTAATTATTAAAACAAACACAAAACTAAACCCACTGCTGTCAAGTCATATCTGATTCGTAGCAACCCCTCCTTGGGTTTCCGAGGTGGTATCACTATGGAAGTAGATTGCCCACCCTTCCTTCTGAGGAGTGGCTGGTTGGTTTGAACCGCCAGCCTTCTGCTTAGCAGTCAAATGCCTTAGGCACTATGCCACCAGAGCTAATTATTAAAATAACAAAGTTTCCAAAGCCCTAAATCTGATAGAAAAGTGTATCAAGAAATTGGCAGGAGTCAATTTAGAAGTCAAATTTAGGAGTCAAATTAAGAAAAAAAATGAAAGCAAAGCTTTGAATAGATGGAAGAATTAATCATGTCCTATTTTTTTTTCAGAATGCTTGGATTAGGCTTGTTTTGTCTTTGTCTGAAGTATGAACAGCAGCAGCAACAGCAAGTCTCCTTGTACGCAGAATTCCTCAGGCAGATAATGAAACTCAGTAGGATCCCCAGTCTCAACCTGAATATTCTGAGTTCTAACTTTTAAAGACTAAGTGAAAAGTATTATCCTTTTGACCTTCATTGGTTTTCAGTGGCTTTTTGAAATAATGACCTTCCTTTACACCTGTGCCATGTAAACAAACAAGCTGCCAGAAAATGGCTGGCATGATACTCGTGCTATGCTATGTTTTCTGTCCCCACCTCATACTACCCCTTTCCCTAAGGGAAAAAGTCATTTAAGGCCTGGACTCAGTAATGGATGTTCCTAGGAAAAGCTCTGCAAGGACAGATCTGAAGCAAACAGAACCACTGGCTTCCTACCCATTCATCACATCTTACCTAACTTTCCCCGTCTCCCGTTGCCACTGAGTCCATTCCAACTCACAGAACCCCATAGGACAGAGTAGAACTGCCCCAGGGAGTCCAAGACTGCAATCTTTGTGGAAGCATACTGCCACAGCTTTCTACCGTGGAGCGGCTGATAGATTTGAACCACCGATCTTTGGGTTAGCAGCCAAGTACTTAACCACTGTACCAGCAGGACTGCCTTTACCTAACTTTGTTGTTGTTGTTGGGTGCTGTCAAGTCAGTTGTGATTCATAGCAACTCTGTGTACAATAGAACGAAACAGCACCCAGTTCTGCACCATCTTCACAGTCACTGCTGTTTGAGCCTATTTTTGTAGCCACTGTGTCAGTCCATCCCATGAAGGGTCTTCCTCTTTTTCGCTGACCTTCTACCTTACCAAGTATGATGTCCCTCTCCAGGGACCGGTGCCTTTTGATACCATTTGTAAACTATGTGAGACAAGGTCATCTTTATTCATATTTGTCATCTTTATTTATTTGTCCTTTTGCCAAAGGCACAAGCACTCTAGGACAGGAGTTATGGTATTTGCTGTCCCTGAAATGGGACCAGTTGACAAGCTACACTACTAGACACAGGTTATTTCTGCTTTGGCTCTCTGCCTGCAGTTTAAGTAGTTTCTGTCAGCTTTGGAAGAACCCTGATGGCACAGTAGTTAAGCGCTCAGCTCCTAACCAAAAATTCAATTGTTTGAACCCACCAGCCACTCAGCAGGAAAAAGATACGGTATTGTGCTTCTGTAAAGATTTACTTGGAAACTCTATGGGACAGTTCTGTGTAGAGTAGCTATGAGTTGGAATGGCCTTGAAGGCAGTGGGTTTAGTTTGGTTTTTCAGGCTGGTGATTACTCCTTGATAGAAGCCTTGAAGATCTTTTTTAGACATGGAAAAGTGCTTAGTTAAACATTATAAAGATGTATCTAAATACTGAAGTATTTATCACTTTACATATATTTAACCAAATGCTAATTACTTATATTTTCATATTCACTTGAAGAGACCATACTGGAACAAAATTTAAAGAAATAGCACCACCTAGGGACAAGTTAATGTCAACTCTGTCATTTCTCCTTTCTCTCTGCTTACCAAAGTTTTGGACGGACATCACTTTTTTATTGGAGGTGGCATGTTTTAAATCTTTATTACAAGGTCACTCCTAGGCTTGTCAGTCCTTTAAGTTGTCTAGAGTTATGGCAGCCAAGATCAATTTCTGGAGTCAAATAAGTTTTAGGAACTTTCTCCCCTGTGTGTCTATGGTCTATAGTGACACTTTACCTCATTCTCTTGATTGCTGATCCCTTTCCTGTAAAAAATATTTCTAGTAAAGCTTAAACTTACTTCCATCCTCCTTTCTCAATATTTTCTGATTCAAGTGATAATCTTGTAAGATGGAAAGAAGATCTTATGACTTTATTTCCATCTACCCAAGAACTCTTAACTACAATGATTTTTTTTTTTCAATCAGGATGCAGTTTCCACTCTGATTATTTTCTCCCTCAGCATTGTTGTTGTTGTTGTTATTTGCCGTCGAGTCAGCCCCGACTCATAGCGTCCTCCTTGGGTTTCCAAGGCAGTATCATTACGGAAGTAGGATTGCCCAACTTTCCTTCCGAGGAGTGGGTTTGAACCGCCAGCCTTCTGGTTAGCAATCAAGCCTTAGGCACTATGCTACCAGAGCTCCCTCAGCATAGAGTGTGCATAATTACTTTCTCTCTTTTTAAGGAATAGACTTACTGGGTATAATAAAAATTCTTCTGTTAAAATCTTGTGGTTTTTTAGTTATGTAAGCCCAAAGTCTAAAGCATTGGATCTTAAATCTTAGTGTGCTTTGTTTATTAGGAATGGGGACTCCATTGCCCTAATTCTGATTCAGTAGGTTTGAGTGAAGGCCCAGGAATTCCTATTTCTAACAAGAATCTCAAACGATTCAGAAGTAGATGGTCTTGGCCAAAATACTTATTTAAATGGTTTATTTGTTTTCCATTGTGGATTTTTTTTAAATTAATTTTTATTGTGGGTTTTTTTTTAAAGCAAAGAATCATTTTTAAGCACAAGTATATGTATAGGTTTCTGCACAAAATTGAACTTTCATTTTTGAAAACTCATTTTAAACCTCAGACTTAGAGAAATGTCTCTCCTGAGGCTTAGAGATACAACAGCATTGCATGGATTTTTTTTTTTTTTTTTTAAATAATACTTGAATGGAAGAATATACTGTGTTGGGGATATTTTTGGTCTAAATTAACAGTAATATTTTCTTTTGGATGGCACCACTTTGAGAATAAATCATGTAAATGACTATTTCTTAATTAAACATGCAGAACTTTGGTACTTAGCATAAAATTTTAATAAGTATTGTATAGTGTTGATCAATATATATATTCTGTACATTTTCCATGTTTCAGCTTAATCTGTCATAATTAATCTACTTTATGTCTTGAATAATAAAGACATGTTGTTGTTGTTGTTGTTATGTGCCGTCGAGTCAAACCCGACTCATAGCAACCCCTCCTTGGGTTTCTGAGGCAGTATCACTATGGAAGTAGGATTGCCCAACCTTCCTTCCGAGGAGTGGCTGGTGGGTTGGAACCGCCAGCCATCTGGTTAGCAGGCAAGTGTCTTAGCCACTATGCTACCAGAGCTCCCAATAAAGACATGGCAAGGACTTTTATGTTTTGAATAAATTCAGCACCCATTACCAGCTGTTGATTAAAGTAGCAGTTTGCTGACTGGTTTGCATGCCTTAATCCTGTAATTTCTAATGAAGTAAGTGAAACAAGAGTTTCTCTTTTGGAACAATCCAAATTGTTGTTTTTCTATAGAATTAGCATTTAGGGAATGGCGTGGTTTCCAAGTCAGTTGTTGAGGTTTGTAGTGATTTATGGCAATTTAGTCAAACTTAGGTCACACAGGGCCATGAAAGTTAACACATCATTTGTCTTTCTTATGTACTGTAGACAAAGGCTGAACATAAGACCTGGAAGAAAACTTTCTTCATCAGCAGGTAGATCACAGGAGAGGGCAAAAGTCTTGGATGATTGTTTCAGTTTGTAGTAGAGTCGGATAAAAATTGTCAGTGCAGTTAGAAATTTCCAATTTCTTCTCCAAAGCAATTTTCACTTCTCCAGGCTTCTTAAAAATGTGATGTTATGCAAGATTTTGGGAAATTATATACATTATACCTTTATTTTTGAGATCATGTATACTATACCTATTACCTTTTATAATATTTATTCATATGTATTTTATTCAATTGGTGTTTTCAGGGCATTGCCAACAATATCCATGAAGATGTTTCATTAACACCTCCATTGTTTCTCTCTCTCCCTCATCTTTTTTAGAGTAAAGATGGCAAAAGTCCATTGCACATGACAGCTGTCCATGGCAGGTTCACACGGTCACAAACTCTCATTCAGAATGGTAAGAGAGATTCTTCAACTGTGTCATTATTTGAACAGTTTCCTGATTTGACTAAGTTTGGCTGTCAGTCATCTGAACATAAAAAGTGATACCTTGTTTTGGAGTTTGAGAAAGCAAGGCTTTATACCATCCTTGGAGTACCTCGTTAAGGGCTCTTCAGCAGACGCATCAACACCATCCATCTTAGTAGTGAGAATATGAAGCCACTACATTTCATACTAGTTCCCAGTTAGGCAAAGAACAGGTGAGCTTTGAAGCTGGAAATGATATATAGACTCAAGATCTTATGCTTTTTACTCTGAAACTAACAAAGGTAAGTAGCATTGATTTTCTAGCAGCAAATCTGAATTATTTTTGGATTTTAGAATTTACCATAGTTCCCTGAGTAAAAACTCATGAAGCTACTTGGGCAAAGATAGGAAAAGTGAGGTGACTCAGAAGAAAAGAAGGTAAATACATGACATACAGGGTCATAAAATCACAGGCTTGACAGAGACCTTGGAAAGTCACATAATTAGTAGTTGTCCAGGCTCTGTTGTGTACAACAAAGGTGTACAGTACTTGCACCATTGGGTTGTCTCCATGGCCACACTAGGGAGTGTCTCTTCACAGTATGGGTCACATTGCCCTTAGGTAGTTATGGCTAGCATCTCTGAGTGGGTTGACCTTAGCAACAAAACTTCTGTTATCTTAGCAAATCTTAGAGACAGTAAAAAAATCTGGTTTAGTCCAGATTTCATGCTGACATTCCAGGCCAATTCAGCAGTTCCAAAACAACCTTTAACTGACCCACATTTCTGCTTCTCAAAATTGTAATGTTAGTCAATTTTCACGGACCTGTCTTTTTGTCATCTATAAAAATTTTGGACGACGTATACTTGAATTGTTAGTGGCACTAACTTATGTCTTAGCCACTCAAGTCATAAAACCAAAAAGTCATTTGACATTTGGATGGAAGACCAGCCAGTAAAATTATGCTTGGAAAGCAAAAATATCTGCAGCAAAGCAAAGGAAATTTATAAGCATGTCAGTGAAGCTATAGGGAGAAGGAAATCCTAACAAATTTCCAATGAGCCAAGGAAGGCAAAGTGGAAATTAACTGCATGTCACATGTTATTTCTAATTTGGAGTATGTGGCATGTTTTAGCATTCATTGCATTGAAAGGGCCACTTTAATTGTAAATAAAGGAGGTACCCTATTCTCTCCCTTTTGAGCCCTTTCCTTATCCTACTGTATTTGTCAACCACTTTTTAGAAACAGTATTCATTCCCTTAAACACAAACAAAGCCAGGAAGATATTTGGCATCCTTTTCTTTTTTTTTTAATTTAATGTGATTTAATCAATGGAATGTAGCTCCGTGGAATAAAAAGCTTTATCTCCTGTTAATTTCAAGCACCAGTGACCAGATTAGAGAGAGAACAATTTTTCACCTTGTAGATGCTGCCTTCCTACAGGTTCAGCCTTGTATGCCAGACTATGCTGTCCATTCCCTCGAGTCAAGATCGTGACCCACCTTCCCTCTGTCATGCAAGTGTGCTTACAACAGCCCCAGGAGGTTGCTGGACTTCCATGCCCTCCCCTCGGCATTCTTGCTAGATTTTGAGTTGGGCCTAGGCTTGGAAGAGATCCTGTTTCTTCTCTTCCGTGATCAAAGTGCTTTATTTTTGAAGCTGCTTTATCCATGACTGGCCTGACATCTTGCTTGTGAATTAGGTGTGACCCAGGGGCCTGAATTAATAAAGACATAATGTCTATAAGATGTGTTGTTGTTGTTGTTGTTATGTGCTGAGTCGGACCTGACTCATAGCGACCACTCCTTGGGTTTCTGAGGCAGTATCACTACGGAAGTAGATTGCCCAACCTTCTTTCCAAGGAGTGGCCGGTGGGTTTGAACTGCCAGCCTTCTGGTTAGCAGTCGAGTGCCTTAGGCACTATGCTACCAGAGCTCCTCTATAAGATGTAGACTATCATATATAATGACAAAGCTAATACTTGTTTTCACAAAGTGTTAGGAAACCATGGGGAAACTGAGGCAGAGAGGTGATCATTTGTATCAGGACACATGGCTGTAACAGGGTATTCAAGCAATGTAGCATCAGAGACTGAACCAATCCACAATAAATGTGTTCTCTGGAAAAACGATGTGTTAAAAAATTATTTTAAACTTGAATTCTATTTACTCTAAGAGTCGCTTATATTTGGAAGACAATTATCCTTGTAAAAGGATGATGTTTTCTTCTCTCTGTTGACAGTTTTCTGTATTCCTTATACATATGAGAACTGCAAGTTCCTACATTTGACATTTCTTAAAATGCCCTTGGGGAAAAGAATAGGAAGCTCTTTTCTTTCCTCTTCTTTGTTGGCTTCCTTCTGGGGAAAATTCTGTGCTCTTGCCCAGACCCTCCCTTCTCCAGAGGCTCACACCCCCAGGGCCTGAGGTGAGCCCTCACCCCCAGGGCCTGAGGTGAGCCCTCAGAGTGGGTCACCACAGAACAGGAGCTGCTCTGTCTTTCAGGATCCCAAACACCAGGACCACATGGGAACATTGGTTGGCTCCCGGAGCCAGCTGAACACATGCAGCTGAGAAATAGTCTTTGTATTTAGTTATTCATTTGCTTGTTAATTTGCTCTGGTATTTAGACTTCATATGTATTTCTCTGCTTCCCTGATTTACCACCGGTCAGGATTATTAGTAATTGTTCATAGTAACTTTGTTTTTCAGGATAGCTTTGGTAAGACAATCTTTAAGAAATGAATTTAAAAAAAAAAAAAACCTTTTATTTTTCAGTTAGTAAGGAAAGACTTCTGGTGTTATATCACTTATTTTGTTGTCTAAGGCTGTGTTATCAGAGCCAGGGAGAGAACGGAACTGAACAAAGAAACAATAGAATATCAGCAGGCCTCTGATATTTCATCCTGCCATTTGCAGTAGGCAGCTGTCTTAGATTCTGTCTAGCAGGTTCCAGAAGTTCAAAAGTGGCATATTCTTCACAGAAGCTTCAAAAATAAATGCTCTGGAAAGGAAGAGTTAAGTGGTAGGTTAGGGTGACTCAGTGTGAGATTTTTGACCTTTTGACTCACAATCTTTCCAAAGCAACTTAATAAGATGACCATTCTTGTTTGTGCAATGAAAACCTATTTCAGATGGATGCTTAGATAATGCTGCATATATTAGCCTCACTTACGTGCCCTGTATACTCTGAAATTCACAAAAGTTTCTTTTCCTCACCAATTATCAATTACCAACATTTAACTTATATTTAACTTATATTTAAAATGCAATATTTAATTTGCATTTTAAACAAGTCAAAGTTTCTCAAGTGAAGTGACTATAAAATAGAAATTCACTCATCTAGAGGCCCTACTTCAATATAAAATAGACTTCAAATAATATATAAATGGTTTCTTTTTGATTTCTCTACCAAGTTATGATATTTTTCTGAGGTATATTTTAGTTGGCAACAATAGCATATGTAAAAGATAATCATCTATGTTCTGAAGTTTTAAATTGCCTCAGGAAATGATAGCTACAGCAAAAAACTTGCTCAGGCCCTGTTCTGCCCTTCTCAATGTTTCTCACACTTCTTTTTGCTACCAATTTTTGACATATTTGAGGCTCACAAATGTGGAGGTCCTAACACTTACTAAGAAAGTTTTGGTGGCTCTTGGCTGTGAAGGATGTGGAGTGACATAGTGCTTGTTCAGGGCAAAGGTTTTTCTGAAGTCTGAGGACATGTGCTCCTCACCTTCATGGGTCAAGTCCTTGAGTGGGCCTTTGAGGCCCACCATGGTGGGCAATTCTTAGGCAGATACATATTCCCTGGATTACTCTAAGGTACCAATAGTTTCTGCCTGTCCCGAAGGCTACCACCAGGTTATAAAAATGAATTGCTTTAATTTGGCTTCTAATAAGTTCAGGGGGAGCTCTGGTAGCATAGTGGTTAAGACGCTTGCCTGCTAACCAGATGGCTGGTGGTTCAAACCCACCAGCCACTCCTCGGAAGGAAGGTTGGGCAATCCTACTTCCGTAGTAATACTGCCTCGGAAACCCAAGGAGGGGTCGCTATGAGTCGGGGCCGACTCAACGGCACATAACAACAACAACAACAACAACAATAAGTTCAGGGCACAGTGAGCTAATTTTTTCCTTGAATCCCTCAAACTCACTGCCATTGAGTCAATTCTGACTCATAGTGACTCCCATTGGGTTTTCAAGGCTGCAAATCATTACAGAAGCAGACTACCCCACCTTTCTTCCATGGAACGGCTGGTAGGTTCAACCTCGACCTTTTGGTTAGCAGTCATACGCCTTAACCACTACACCACCAGAGCTCCTTGAGTCCCTAGAAGATCACAAAAACTACTTTTATTTTATTGTCTTCTTTGATTATAAAATTAGTTCCAGCTCACTGTAAAAGAAAATTAAATCATGAAAAAGATTCCCCTTGATTGCTACCATGTGTCTCTATCCCAAGAGTTTCTATCGACAGTTTGATGTAACTTACAGATTTATATATATTACAGAAAGGATCAAAGTATCTTTTTTCAAACAACTGATTTTCAAAATAACTGTACTTAGAGGCAAAAATTTAAGGAAAGATTAGTAACTGTTCAAGTTGCAATTTATATTTCCCATCAAAGTGAAAAAGAGATTACCTTTTTGTAAGTAGCTATTCAATTGCAAACACCAAATGTAAAAACTTACTGGTAGCAAATTGACTGATTTTTCAAGTCAAACTCTACATGCAGAACTTTTGGCTATACAGTGAAGCATCTTAAATCCCATGTAAACGTGTGTGCTCATTTCAGTTTTTGAAATATTTGCTCTCCTGCAAAGCCCACATACTTTTGGTAATTATTTCATCCTGTAGCAAAGTCTTACTTACTAACCCTGTGTTTTACCAATCCTCCTGGCTAGAAAAAATAAAAAGTTGTTTGCTGAACATAAATCTCAGGGAGTTGGTAGTCAAACAGCAAACCAATGGTAGGATTCATTAGAATGAAGGTCTGTTCAGCAGGGTTATGGCCTGGAAGTTATATAATATATATATACAATAATATTAATTCAGATGGTGACTAGTTCCCTTCAAAAGCACTGTTGAACTTCAGGCAGAGATGAACACTTATGTGGAAAAGAAATCAACATTTGGTCAGCATGAATGACTAGCACAGAAATGTAGTGTGTGAATCAACTTGAATTCTTGTGTTATCCTGTATTAAAATGTCTCTTTTAGGAGGTGAAATTGACTGTGTGGATAAGGATGGCAACACCCCTCTCCACGTGGCTGCAAGATATGGTCATGAGCTTTTGATTAACACCTTAATAACCAGCGGAGCTGACACAGCCAAGTAGGTGCCCGCAAAAACACGGGAGAATAATTGCCATGTGTGGGAATCATGCCAAATGGACTCTGTCCTGCAGTAGATAGTTCCCATTTATTCAGGTTCAGGTGAATCTGCACCATTGCACTAACCACAAATTACATTTGAAATAAATGATGTGACTTTTAATGATTTTATTTTTCAGCTACATAAGGTTGAGGCCTGTTTCAGTGGTTTTACTTATTATAATCTTACTATTAAACTATATTTCTAATTCTGCTTTCTAATATTCTTTTGCTCTTTCAGTGTTGGTTAAGCAGGAAAAAGAAACATAATTGAGCAAATTCAGAATTTATTCTGGGTGCTTGCTTAGTTTTAATGATAGCTATAAGGTAGCAATTAAGTAAATTACTACATTGGAGAGGGGGCCCTAACCTCATTTTGTGCTTAAATTCAAGAAGAGTATATAAAGCGTCTGTAATGATCTTTCAATTCTGAGTATTATGGGGGGAATTCAGAAGAAGTAAATTGCTTGGGTAGTACCTTCAAGTAACTTATAATAATTTTGTTGGGGCCCACAGCCCATTTAAGACAAAGAACCATGCAGGACAGTACAGTGAAACCTGTGAGAGCTGGAACTGAACAGGACTGCCTTGTTTTTCCTGGTCTTGCAAGTTTTCTACCTTTGACAGGTTACAGTCTTACCACTTTTCTACCATTCTCTATTAGTGGGAGGTTTTTGCATTTTCCTTCTCTGAGAGGTTTCTGCTTTACACATTCCAACATTCACAGGCTTAGCTGTATATAATAAAGTTCTAAATGAAACATGGCTTAAGTGGCAGTTATTGGAGACAATATATGCCATAGAATGTAGACAGAAAAGAGAGCTCAAAGATGGCCAGCATTTTCTGAAAAGCTTCAAGGAGAAGTTAAGTCTTAAACAGGCTTTGAAGCATGAGAATTATTTGAGTAGAGCAGAGGGTGGCAGACATCTCAAGGATACAGGAAATCAGCAACAAAAGATGAAAATAGTACACCTCACTGGAGAGCTTGGCCTGACAGAGTCAAGGGTGTGTTATAGTGCTGGGCTCTGTCCAGAGACAGTGTAGGGTTGGGAGCACCACCTGCACTCTAGTCCATGCTGTCTCACTTATGAGCTGTGTGACTTTGAGCCCACTCCCCATCTCTCTGACCTCACTGTCCTCCTCTGATAAATGGGAATAATAATAATTCCTACCATAGGTTTCTTATGCAGATTAAATGATTTAATTACAAGTAAAGCACTTGATATATAGTCAGATGGCTATGAGTTAAATCGATATATCAGCTAATTATTAAATAAAATAATTCATATAAAGCTCTTTGAACAGTGTCTAGCACATAGTAAGATATCAGTAAATGTTCATTATAATTTTATTGCTTAATAATAGGTAGTAGAATAAAATCAAAGAGAGATTTAAATGCCTGAATGAAGAGTTTAGCCTTGATCACTGTGGGTAATAATCATTGAAATTTGAGGAGAAGAATAATATGAGGGCAGTGTAATATTATTCATTGAATGTTATGCAACAGAATTAAAAATCCTGCCCAAGAATGATCCAAAATTTAAATGGTCTGGGGAGGCTGTGATGGGGTCGTATTTAAAATCAGGGTTTGGAGTGAATTATATGGAGGATCTTGGGATATGTGTAGTATATAATTATCTACCATCATCAGTTCAACATTAAGTTGAGCTAAGTTCCAGTTAACTTCTGGGCTCCCAGACAAGTGGTGGAAATAAGAACAGCAGCAAATGAATGAAATCCTGTGGGATATGTTGGAGGTTTCAACTAGGCTTTGGATGCAGAGTTAGGGAAGTTCTGATCCTCTGGGCTCCCCACAAAAGGTGACATTTCAGCAAAGGGAAGGATGATAGGAGTTTATCAAGTGGACGAGAACTGTTTGATGTGGAAGATAGTGAAGCAAGGAAAGACATTCAAGGAAGAGGGAAGAGCATTTATAAAGACATAAATGTGAATGTATTAGGTGAGTGGAGAGGAATGAGGTGGAAAGATGGGAAGGCCACATCTGGAAAGACCTTGCCTGTGCTGCTAAGGTGTCGGAATTGCATTATTAGGCATTTAGAAGCTGTTCAAGAATATAAATGGATATAAGGTAGGTTGTGTCAAATGATCCCATTTGTATGTAAGAAATGTTGTTCTAATAGTCGTCCAGACAACTTGGAGGCAGCCCAGACTAGAAACATTGGCAGCCCATTGCAAATGTCTGGGGAAGAAAAGATGAGGGCTTTGGCTAAGGCTGAGGCTGTGGGCCAATAGAATTGGAGAATGCTGACACAATAGTACCAGCAGTGAGGACTCTCCTTTCAGAGGAGAAAGGAATCTGCTCAAACCCAAGGAGCTTTTTGACTGAGATGTTGCAGGTTAAAAGAAGCAGCTCAGTGTTGTGGTAAGAGCAGTAGACTAGCGTTCAGGAGGCTCTCACCAAGTTTTGGAGTTCCCACCAGACCAAAGCCATGGATCATAAATTTTCACATGTTAATATTATCAGTGATATTTTTCTTTCAATTCTAGGCTACTTGGGGAGTTTCAAATAACCATGACTTTTCCAGATTTGAATATATTTTAGAGATAAAAATAAACTGGGCCCAGTAAGTTCTTTCTTCAGTCAGCTCAGAATTCATTTTGCCTTCAGTTATACAAAGTACATCAACTGGCACAAATGCCTTAGAAAAAGCATTGTTGCTCAAGTAGCCTTTCCTTCCATTGGCTTTACTATAACCTGGGCACAGCAATGAGGGAAATATTGTCTCAATCCCAAAGAGCCACGTTTGCTTTCTTTTATCACAACAGATCTGGGGATAAGACATGCCTCCTCCAGTAACAAGGGCTCATTAAGGCAGTGATCAAGTGTGTGTGTTTATGTTGAGGACAGTGCTGTGACAAGGGAAACCAACTTATGGAGAAAAATATCCAAACAAGAGGGAAGGTTGCAGGAGATTAAATTTGTTAAATTACCCTGCCCCTAGAAAAGCAGTTTCCTGGGCTCCTTGTGGGAGCTCTGGTAGCGTAGTGCCTAAGGCATTTAACTGCTAACCAGAAGGCTGGCAGTTCAAACTCACAAGCCACTCCTCGGAAGGAAGATTGGTCAATCTACTTCCATAGTGATACTGCCTCAGAAACCCAAGGAAGGGTCGCTATGAGTCAGATCCAACTTGATGGCAGTGAGTTTGATTTTTTGGTTTTGGGCTCCTTGTAGGTTTAGGTGTTGAGTAGCTTATTGAAGAGGGACCAACAAATAGTGTTTATGAAAATAGCCATCTTCATTCGTAAATAATTACCCACTGCTGTTGAGTCAGATCCAACTCATAGCAACCCCTCCTTGGGTTTCCGAGGCAGTATCACTATGGAAGTAGATTGCCCAACCTTCCTTCCAAGGAGTGGCTGGTGGGTTCGTACCATCAGGCTTCTGGTTAGCAGTCAAGCACCTTAGGCACTATGCCACCAGAGCTCCTCATAAATAGGATATATTTAAAAAGATCTATCCATGACAATCTCTATTGTCACATAGAATCTTATCCTTATGAATTTATTAAAATCTTATTTTCCAGCCTTGCTTGAAATGTTCTTTGTTATTCTTTTTGCCTCTCTGAACTTAAGTCAGAGCACTTTCTGGAACTTGGCTCAGTGCTCATGCAGCTTCATGTGGTATCAAAGCTCTTGTGGGTTTTCATCTTTAGCTTTCTTTCGTTTGGCTCTAGGATTTTAGTTTGTCTTTTACCTTACCAGTACTGCTCTGACTTCTTTGTCTGCCTCAACTAGAGGAGAATTAGGGGTATTGTTGGTGTGTGGGTAATTAGGCCTGACAATTATTTATTTATTTTTATTGTGATTAGGGTGAACATTTACAGAGTATATTCACTTTCCATATAGCAGTTCACATACACTTTGTCTCATCACATTGACCACAATTTACCACAATGCAACAGTTCCTCTCCCACTTCCTCCCCATAGTTACCTCTTCCTGGTGTCTATCCCTCCATGTCCTACTGCCCCCTGAGCTGTCTCCCTGTGCATAAGCAGCCCTTGTTTCTCCCATGATTGTTCTCTCCAAGGAGTGTATCTACCT